CTTGCAAATCACCTTCCAAACTTGAAAATCACACAAGAATTGAGCACGCACTCAAATTAGGGTTTCTGGACTCACAAGGGGATGTAAGGGAAGGCTAAGGAGGCAAAAGATCCTTTAAATAGGTTGCAAAAACCCGAAAATTAGGGTTTCATCCTCTAGCTCCAACTAGGCGAGTCATGCCTCCAACTCGGCGAGTTGGTCACTTAAACATGTGGCCAAAAACGTTCCTACTCGATGAGTCAGGGCATCCAACTCGTCGAGTCGACCTTTCAAAATGGAAATATAAGACTGTAAAGTCTATACTTGAGAATTTGGGTGTTATAGTTTCATATATACCATTACAAGGCAATGCAACAAAATAAAACTTGTCATTATAGAAAACATTTATAGAACCAATTTCATTATTAAACGAAAATCTAAAACCTTGTTTATACAAACCAAGAAAAGAAATAATGTTTCTCGCCATATATGGCGAGTAGCAATAATTATTCAACTCTAAATCTAACCCATTACAAATCAATAAAGAATAAACTCTAATATTGGTGATAGGCGACGCTTTCGTATTCCCCATGATCAAGTTCATCTTCCCGTGATCCACATTCCTACTTCTTCTTAGACGCTGCAAATCAGAACAAATGTGAAAACCACATCGTGTATCAAGGACCCAAGAACTAGCATGTGATGAGTTATTAGATTTCATAGTGTAAATACATATGAATGTGGGTTTTCTCTTCCCATCTATAATATCCTACAAGTATTTAGGGCAGCTTCATTTCCAGTGCCCCCTTTTCATGACAATAGAAGCACTCTGCATCCTTTGGATTGGAAGAAGGAGCAGCAAAACCACCTTTGTTCCTAGTAGAAGAGGATCCATCATGGGACTTTCAATTGTAGCTATTAAAAGTAGCCTTCCTCTTCTTTCCTTTCCCTTCTCAAATTGCCAAGACAGGGGAAACATCGGTAGGAGTGGGTGCAAGAGACTTGCCTTTTAAACTACTTTCAGCAGTTCTTAGAAGGCCTTGAAGCTTGCTTAAGTGACTTCCTCCTTGTTATATGATAAATCATATGGAACTGATCATAAGAAGGAGGTAAAGAATGTAGGATAATATCAATAGCTAACTCTTCATCGAAGTTGACATTCAACTTTAGCAAGTGGTCCACAAACCTTTGCATCTTTTGCAAGTTGGCCAGGATGGACTCTCCATCCTTCATATTTTTTGTTATCATGGAGGGAATGATCTCATACCTTTCCTGTCGAGCACTTTGATGGCACCTTTTCATCAAGTCTTCCTGCATCTCGAAAGGATATTAGTCCTCATAGGACTTTTGGAGTTCAGCAGTCATATTGGCAAGCATGATACACGACACCTTTGTCACATCCTTTTCATGCGCCCTATGCTCAGCGATTTCGTAAGGAGTATCAGTTTCTTAATTAATCTCCTTCATATCTTTGTCGAGTACATACTCCTTGTCCTCATAGCGAGTGACCATGAGAATGTTACGAATCCAATTGTTAAAATTGGATTCATTGAAGATCACTCTCCTACATAATTTCATGAGGGAAAATGAGCCAGAAGCATTTGAATTTCAAGCATTGTTTGAAGTAGACAACTAAAAATTAGTACATGTTTCACTAGATAGAAAATCCTTAATATTCGGAAGAGGGATGTCGTAATCCAATTACAAAATATTTGAAGATAGGTAAATGACGATTTACCAAATTCACCACCCAAAACTAAAATTTTAAAGAATTAAGTTTTATGAAATTCCTAAATCTTTTGAGATTTATTGAACTTTTTCAATGGAATGTTTAAATCTCAATTATGCCCTTCAAGTTTGTGATTGGGATACCGAGGAACACAAACAAGGTGTGAATAACCATGCAAATTTGCTTGGTACTCTCGAGTCATTTACCACCTAATCAATGTGTCGGTTAACCACACACGTTCCGTTGATCTATGATAATTTTCAAGCTACCGTTTGCCACCCTTGTTAGTCCAAGTTAGTGTGTTGGTTAACCACACACACTCCACTAACGACTTGGCAAGGTGCAAAGTGCAATTTCATGGAATAGAATCATTTTCACATTTTTCCTAAGGTAACTAAGATTAGGAATTTTAGAAAAACATTTAGTTACTTTTATAATTATCATTATACTTATTAATGAGAATTAATTTCCGATCCTACCCATTCAGCTAACGACCCTCCACCAATCAAGGAAACGGTGGGTGAGAGTGGATACCCATTCAACTGCCGTTTTATATGCAGTTTCCTTATACCCCCTTATAGATCGGTTTCGTGAATGAGGCCTACTAACGATCAGAATGACTATCTTTTATATATATATATATATATATATATATATATATATATATATATATATATATATATATATATATATATATATATATATAAGTATTAATCCTTTAATATTATAATAGTATAAGGGTTGAATTTTAGACTTTAAAAATTCTAGAGTTTAGAATTTAATGTTTCATAATTAAGACTTTTCAAATTCCAAAACTTGAGGAATAACTTTGAAACCTTTCAAAACTCTCGGTTCAATTAAATTAATCATATAACATAATTGAACTAATTTAATTTCATTTAGTAAGATGATTCAAATTCCACAAATAATTAATTCTTACACAAAATCAAGTAATTATCTTAAAATTTGACAATCATAATTCAATTGGATGGGGATAATCACTACCTTATCATAAAAATAAAATTTTATCAATCAAAACAGTTTATGTCAATGATCCTAATCCAAAACTGGCCAAAAACTCGAAAAAACTGCAAACAGATGATCCAACTCGTCGAGCCATGCAATGGACTCGTCGAGTTGGCTCAATTAAGGATCAACTCATAGAGTTCCTTCATGGGACTCGTCGAGTTCAGTAGTCAGTGGCCAAAAATGAATTTTTTCTAGCTTTGAAAATAACATAATTGCATCAATACAACAGAAAACACCCAAGGCTGTGATACCACTGATGGGTTTTGAGCACTATAACATCTCTATGGTGCACATACAATCCTAATGCTTTGGATCTATGTTTTCTCAAGTTATACATGTAATTTCATTTTAACCAAAGCATATACCCTAGCTATCATGTAATTGTAGATATACAACACAAAAACTAGTTAGATGATTACCTCTTAGTTATAGCGTGTAGCTCTTAGCTTTTCAAGAGCTTAGTACCTCAAGTGTGATACCTCTAATGTGTCACAAAACATGAAAAGAAAGAGGAGGCTTGTCAGAGAGAGAGGGGGGGGTTAGGAACCACCAAAATCAACTAGGGTTTCACTATAGAATAAAGTGGCCGATTTTAGGGACCTAGGGGTTCCATTTATAGTGTGGAATCCTTAGGGTTTCATACAAAAAACCCTAAAACCTTTGGCATTCCAATGATCTATATGATAGGCCCTTTAGACTAACTCTTCATGGACTCTCACATAGATTTAGCCCATCCTTAATCAATCATGGATCATTAGCCCAAATTATAAATATTAGATTTACCTAATCAGTCCCTGTGAATTTAATTAGTCTCATTTGATCACTAAATTAATTACAAATTAATTCTTGATCAATATTAATTAAATAATATGATTTCTCAATTAATATATTATTCATATAATATATTAATAAATCACAAATAAATTCTTTTTCATATATCCATCCTATCAAAATGCTCTTATGAATGCAACCCAAAAGGACCATGCTACTATCGGTTCAAGTACATACCAATTATAGTTATGGGTACAGACATCTAATCCAATAGCTTTATAACTCCAGAGCCTAATACCTATCCCTTTAAGTGTCTCTAGTGGAGTGGACTCATAAAATGGGATCTTGGACGTCAAGATCTCCCCATGTATGATATGTGATAACTTTTGTGAGTAAAGAGTGAGAGTTTATGAGTTTTAGACTTTCTTAACCTTGCAAAGGATTAAAGTCACAAACTTTATGGAGTATTAGCCTTTAGTGAGTCCATATCTGAGATTATAGCTATGGTCTTAACGGATTAAGACCAGGAGAATGGGAAAAGCAAGTCTGGGACATACGTTGGGCAAACTCCCTGATATGTGCAAGGTAGCGACGAAGTTTCCCGATGCATGCATGGTGAAGTAGTACACCCAGCTTAAAGGGTTATACGCCTAGCGTACTCGTTTCCTATTGACTTTTGTTGACTTTTAGGGTTTGGTCAAACTGTGGACTTTTGAGGCCATAGGAAATGGGTTTAGCCTCACACCTTTAGGGTTCGTTTATTAATTAGAGTTAATTATGATATATCTTTGGCGGAGGCTAGACCGGTAGTTTGAGTACGAGACATATTTGCTTTACTTAAGAGGTGAGTCTTCTCACTTTAATTACTTGAGCGGTAATACTATGTGACCGGAGGGTCTTATTTGAGTTATTTACCGGAGGGTCCTATGTACTTATGCTGAGTCATGTGATATTATGCATTTTTTCTTTGTGATATATGCTATATTTATGTGTCGTACTGAGTTAGGACCGGAGGGTCCAAACCGAGTTATGAGATCAGAGGGTTTTCACTGAGATACAAGACAGGGGGTTCGACCCGAGCTGTGAGACCGGAGGTTTGTCACTAAGACACATGACCGGAGGGTTCACACCGAGGCACGAGATCGGAGGGTCCTCACCGAGATGCATGACCGGAGAGTGCATGCCGAGCTATAGCCATAAGAGGATTATTATTTGTGTATGTGGTATTTTGGGGAACTCACTAAGCTTCATGTTTATTGTGTTGTGTGATATGTGCTTCAGATACTTCTCAGCATCGCGGGAAGGCGCCAACTTGATTGTACACACCTGTTCGAGATTATGAATGACGATTATGGGATATTATCAGTTATTTTATTGATTTGTGTTTTGACAATTGATACATTGTGGTTTTTGAGAAAATTTGATATTGAGTTTTATGTGGTTTAAAAATGAAATATTTGTTTGAAAATTTAAAGTATTATATTTTACTAAAATGATGACTTCAAGGCACTCAGAGATTTCCTACACTCGCTTATGGTCCATCATCGTTAAGCGTGCAATTATTCACCTTCAGATTCAGGTACCAGATAACTGTGTGATTGCTGCGATTCCAATCTTTCATACTTCCAAATTTATCGTGTCTGATCCTACCAAGTTCGACTTCGTTGGATCAATTCTGGAATCTATGACCCGCAAGGTTCTAGTAGACAATGTGCTTATCAATGAGTATCGGAAAAATCCTGCCTCAGGTACTTTTCTTATGCTTGAATATTTGCAAAAGACACTTGAAGAGGGAAATAAGCACAAAAAGGGAGGAAAGCGAAAAATGAAAGCTAGACCTTTTGAGTCGGCTCAAACTCCGAAAAAGAGGGTGAAGAAGGCTGCTCGCAAACCACGATCTCCTTCTCCAGTCGCTCAAGAGAATTCACAATCCCAAACTGTTCGATATTACATGGAGAAGACAATATTTAGCATGAAACCGAAGATACTGTGGTAACTTCGCAACCTTTGGTCTTGGAACCAGTTCCAACTCAGTCCACTGCGAAGGTATCTTCTCCAATTTCCTATTCTGTTCGATTGACAAATGATTTCTTTCATTTTCCCTCTCCTCCACCTTCTCTAATCCTTAACTCTATGCCAATCTCAACACCAATTACTGTTGCTCCTTTCCCGAGTATATGTTGGGGTTTAGCAACCACAAATCTCTGTTGCACAAACCACTCCACTTTACACTGATTCCACTGCAACAACAACCACTGCCACCACAAGTTCACCTCAAGTGACTGACAATGTATATGATCTGGGGGAAAGTACTTTCGGTGTTACCATTGGCCCTAACGTCTCTCCAATTTTTCCATTAAGGGAAGACGATCAAGATCTTGTATTTGGTGTTGCCCAAGAAGACTTTCATGCTTTCAATTTTAGTCCCTTCATAGTTCACCAAGAGAGTGATGATGACGATGCACCGATGACAAGAGGGCAGTTCAAGGCCCTCGATGAAAAATTGGATTCTCCGGTAGAATTGTCCAAATCTTTGTCAAATGTTGAGTATCTGTTTGAGTCTCATAAGGCTGTAATTGAGACATTGACCAAGGAGCATGCTAAAAATATTGCTACCTCCACAAAAACTGTTGAAAATTCTGAGAAAACAGTTAGGGATACGACCGAAAAAGTCGAAATACTACTTTCTGATGTTCAGAAGTTCATGAAAAACTTTTGAACCTCTTCAGATTGCAACACTGAAGCTACGAATAAAGCTATAGAAGGTCTCGGAACCTCTCTTCAAATCAAGAAAGAAGCTTTATCTAAGTTTCGAGTTGAACTCAAAGTTGATAATATCAAGATGACCAGTTCACTTGTCTTAAAAATTGAGAAGCTTTAGGAGGATCTAGCTACTAAGAATGCAATAATGGAAAAATTGGCTCTGAAGACGGAAAAATTCAAGGTCCTTTCTGTCAAGTTGAATTACGAAACAACGCGTCTGGATTACCTTGAATCTGAGAAGGTTGTCTTCGGAATCTGCATTTCTGACATCAATGAGTATCTACAAAGATTGCTGGAAACTCATGATTCGATTCTCACCATTTCAGTCGGACAACACCTTTTCGAAAAGCTCAAACTTGTGTTTAGATTGCTTAATCAGTTGGAGGGTGTTTCCCGAAGCAGTGTTATTCCGAAACAAGGGGGAGAACATGTTACTCAAGAAAAGATTCAGAAGGATCCACTCCAACTGAAACTGAAGGAAAAATCTGATGAGCATCATGAAATGAAACCAAAAGATGACCAGAAGGGTAATGAAGCTTCTGGGTCAAAAGGCAAAGGAAATATCAATGAAGAAGAAGAATGAGAAGAAGATATATCCGAAGTTACAAAGCTCAAAATAAAGACATGCAATAAAGAACTTGATGAGATTATGCATGTTAATCAAGAAGTTGAAGCTCGTGAAAAAGAAGCTCATGATGAACAGGTCACTCTTGCAACTCAGAAGACTCTCTTCCCTCCTTGGTCGATGGAAAGGATTCTGAATGAGGCTGATGAAAGTCCGAGCACTCACTGGCTGGAGCTAGCTATCTTATTCGATCTGGAGAATACTTCGGAATCTCAACTTGATTTGCCAATCACTCCAAGGCGTTCCTATTCAGAATTTCTGAAAAGATTGAGAAAGCTCTGATTTCAGATAATGATGTCAATCACATGGTTTTTTCCTTTTATCTCAAGTATGGAAGGCCACAGTACCAGACAAGGAGTTCAAAGAAGATAGTCGTAGTAAAGGTTTTTGGACCTGTTGAGACCGAAGACTTCATTAACATTCGGTTCAAAGTAGTCCAAGGAGAAAGAAATTTGGTATTTGAATGTACACTTGCTCATTTTCCATGCCTAAATCCATGTGATTGGATTTCCTTGTTCTCACTTTTATCTAAGGATGAACACAAATATGAACCGTTCTTGTCTCATCTAAAGAAAATGTTAGTCTGCTACATTCAAGAGTTTGGAAAAATGGATGTGGATGTCACACCCCGAAAACCGAAGGCGGAAACATTTCTGGGGTTGACTCCACGTTGAGTATCAAATCCAATGTACATAGTAAGTAAAGTAAAACAACCATTACATTACATAAGAAAAGTTTTACAGTTGTTTCAAAAGTAAAGTTTGTACAGTTGTGATACATAGTATATATAAACAAAATGAAATGGGTCTTCATGTACTCCGTCTTCTGATCAAAAAGGGATCTCCGGGTACCTGTTCTAACGCTGACCTGAGAACACAAGCGGTTTAAAAATCAGCATAACGCTGGTGAGTTCATAAGCGGTTTTTGTTTGTGAAAATGTTTCAAGTTTCCTTTCTGTTTCTGAAATGTTATGTATACCAATAAAATCCCATATTTTCTTAAAAGTTGGTTGTTGTTTCACAAATGGAAAGTATAGTAAGTTTGTACACTGAAAACATGTCTACTCATGTAAAAATGTATAGTTTGGTTATCCGACTTGTTAAACTGTTCTGTTTACCTATCATGTATTCCCAGGAAAGTCCCATACTTTCCTTATTGTATATTACCAATTGTAAAAGATGTAATGTTATCCAGTTTGTTACTCTTTCTAGTTATGTAAGTGTTACCCAGGGAAGCCCCATGCTTTCCTACATGTTGGTTTCCAATGTGAATGATGTAAAAGATGTAAAAGATGTAAACGTGGTTAGGTTCCATGTTTTTCCCCAGGAAAGTCCCATACTTTCCTAAATGTTGGTTACCGTATGTGAAAGATGTAAAAGATGTATAAAGTGTTTCATTATTACTATAAGTAAATCTATGTTATCCTAATTGCGAGTTCCATAAGCATACGATGGACTAAACCTGTGGCAATAAGTAATCCACATGTGGCAATAAGTAGTCCACATACTTATGACTTTCGTCACCCTTGAACCATTTCGGTTCGGCTGTAGCTAGCAGCCAGGCGTGGGGTAGTCAGCCCCGTATAGATCTATACACTCAAGTCACGCTCTCTAAATACCAGAGATTCTAGTTACGGGTGTAGTCCTCCACTCACGTATCTCTGTGGAGTGTTCGTCGAGGACGTGTCTCCAATCATACAAGATTAACAAATTTACTAGTAATAATATGATAGTCCTCCACTCGCGTATATATGTGGAGTGTTGCCAAGGACAAAACAGTGTACAATTATTATATTCAAATGTCTAATGTTATGCTTTTAACTGATAAAATATGGAAAGCCATTTGTGAAATATATGTAAAACATAACAGTTTAAAGACCTATTCCACAAATATATGTTACGTGATCTGCATGTTCAAATGGTTATCAGTTGTACTAATCAGTAATTAAAAGCATAGAATATGAAACACACATTTGAAAACATGTTTTGAGTACAATAATTCCACGATTTTCAACTGGTTTTATTTAACAATACAAACATATCTTCAACTGGTTTTATTTAACAATAAAACTACATTACACGATTTTCAAGTACAATACAATAAACATTTCTAGAAATATACATTTCCAGGGTTTTACAAAGATGCAACTACATAATACTATTTTCCCAGTGCAATATAGTATACATTTCTAGTAACATGTATTCAAATAGTTTTATATAAGTACAAAACTACATATTACTATTTTAAGTATGGCAAATACTTGTACACTACGGTCTTGGAACATTTAATACTACAGTACATATGAAAGAAAATATTGGATTTTCAGGAAGAACACACTATCGTTTTCAAGGAAACAAAGACACATATTTCTCACACAAAATGCTTATGAACTCACCAGATTAAATGTTGACACTTTTTCAAAACTACTTGTATTCCCAGGAAATCAGTAGACATGTACCCACACAGGTTTTGGTGAAGACGGAGCTTAGTATTACTACGTCTTATAGTTTTGTTGTATGGTTTTGGAGTCAAACAACGATTCAAATACAATGTAAATATTAAATTATCAATACAATGTTTGTAATGCTTTGATTTCTATTATTCAATTGCTATGACACTATACATGACGTCATCCCGCCCCCGGACGTTTCCACCGTCTCATCGGTTTGGGGATGTGACAGATTGGTGTCAGAGCATTGTTTATAGTGAACTAAGTATATCATACCATATATGGAACATCCCAAAAATACGGTCCAAAAGTTTCATTTTAAAATCATTTAAGAAAAATCATAATTCATCAAACATCAAAAAAAGATCATAAGTCATGTATTTCAAATCATCATAACAAAATACTATATCAAAATCATGTGTCAAATATCAGAGTGTAAACATCCTAGGCTGAACGAATGGTGTGTGCACTGCAATCGTCCCAAACTCTTCCCTTTGTTATCGGAAGTACCTGAAACCAAAATTGAAAACTGTAAGCACGAAGCTTAGTGAGTCTCGCCAAACTACCCCATACCATACACATAACATATAACATGTAGCTAGGAGATACGGTCCTCGCCCACACTCAAGGAGATGCGGCCCCCAAAACACTCGGCTAACTATGAGATATTGGGCCTCGCCCACACTCAACTATCTCAGAGATACGGGCCTCGCCCACACTCTGCTAACTAGGAGATACAGGCCTCTCCCACGCTCTACTATCCGGGAGATACGGGCCCCCGCCCATACTATTCTAACTAAACATATATACAAGTATCACACAGACAATAAGTATAAATATAATCTACCAGTTCATAAACATACTCGGATAATACTAAGATACGGGCCCTGCCCACACTTAGCTACCAATCATAAACAAGTCTAAGATACGGGCCCAACCCAAACTTAGCTACTAATCATAAATAATTATAAGATACGGGCCCAGTCCACACTTAGCTACTCTACATGGGTCGGTATTTGTGACATCCCCAATTTCACGGCCAGAAAAGACCAATTTGTTTATGCTTTGTTTTATAAAATCAGAGTAATCTTTTGATTAAAAGAGTTGCGGAATTTGTTCCCAAAATAAAATATGATAAAATTCATCAAAACATTTCTCAAAGAGAATGTATTTTCATTAAATAATAAAACCTTGGGATGTCATGTTCGATACAGACCAAAAGCATAAACAATATAAAATAGACCGTACAATAGTTATTCAACTACTGATCTATAATCCAAAATCTCTTGTCCAGTCCACCAACTTATACCCTTGTGCCATTACCTGTAATGAAAAGAAAACCGAGTGGGTCAGGCTTGGGAGCCTGGTGAGCATATAGGGTTTTCAACCCACAATAATATAATTATTATATTCAATCATCAAACAATCAACCTAATTACCCATCCCCATTATCTCCATTTATTTCTTAAGTACCTTCCCTAAGGAATTATCCTAAGGGTCATCTCCTACATCATATTTACCTCTCATCTCCTTACATCACATTTCCTTGTATGATTGTTCCTAAGGACTTTTTCCTAAGGATCATCGCATGAATACGTAGTCACAACATCGCCTGGACTAGTAAGTCATAATAAGGGTTAGACTATCATCGCATGAATACATAGCCACAACATCGCCTGGACTCGTAATTCATAGTAAGGGTTAGAGTATCATCGCATGAATACGTAGCCACAACATCGCCTGGACTCGTAATTCATCACCTACAGGTTATGAGCCTTCTGGTGTTTCCACGGGGTCATCTAGAATAGTCCGTGGTCGCCATCTATACTCTGGTAGATGACTACATCGCCAAATTTCCACATCACCGGTCAAGGTTATGGTATCTCCTCTCATCTCACATCACCTATTTATCATTACCTAATTATCATCACCTTTCTATCATCACCTATTTCTCATCACCTAGTCATCATCACCTGTTTCTCATCACCTAATTATCATCACCATTATATCCTCACCTTTCTCTTATCACATTCGTTCAACACACATCAACTATTTCATTTACCCATGTTCTACCCAACATATTTGTAGATATAAATTACATATATAGTTTAAATCATTTAACACCCATATAAAAACATCAATTCCAAGCCCATACCATATAGACAATTAATATATAACACATAGCACGTATTTCATAGCTAATGCTTTATATTTATGTGTTTAGAAGAGAGTAACCGCACACTCACACATATAAACCACAATATATATACACATAACACGTATTTCGTATAAAATACTTCATAATTATGCGTTAGAAGAAAGTAACTACACACTCACATATATAAACAACAATAAACTTAATACACTCAAACCATACTTGTATTATTATCGTGTTTATGAAAGGTAGTATACACTCACATATATAAACAACAATAAACTTAATACACTCAAACCATACTTGTATTATTATCGTGTTTATGAAAGGTAGTATACACTCACTTGATCAGAAGATGATCGGACAGCACTACGACTTGCAGAAGTAGTATTCTTCGGTGAAACCGGGATCACTTCACACACCTAGTTTCTCGTGGGCAGAGCTTCGGCTCGGAAACTCATTTCTTCTCGGGATCTTCGGGCTTCGGGACTTGCTTCGGGTCTCGGGGTTGATACCAGGGCTTCGGGGGGTTAAAATAGGGCTTAGAGGGTGTATCGGGAGTGGGAGAGAAGGGATGGAGGTGCCCTTGCCACGTCGTGGGATCCTTTTGCCACATCGTGGGCTTGATCGTCACTGCATGCGTCATCCCAAGTTGCATCTGGGGGCCTCCCGGAGGTG